TGTATTTTGCAAACAAGCGTTAATATTTGAATATTCTATTTAAAACAATGCCCATAAAATAATAATATGAGAGTATATAAAAAAACATACTAAATTAATTGTATTATATGTTTATATGTGTAATACGAGGAGTTAAAAAATGCGTGAAACATTTTAAAATTTCTGTAAGCGAACTAAAACATAATTATCTCGTTGGCGAAAAAACAAAACAGGTCAATTTTGGGCGGAAACACAACACTGTTGTCTCGGCCCTTTTTCAATGCTTTGAAAAATAAAATTTTGACATGAAATCATTAAAAATTGTTGCACAATCTTATGACGGTGCAAGCGTAATGTCGGGGTGTCTTAATGGTGTTCAAGCCAAAATAAAACAATATTTTCCTTCTGCCATATATACTCATTGTATGTCTCACAGATTAAATTTAGTGGTTCTGGATATGTGCAAAGGAATTAAGGTAGAATATGCTTTAATTAACTATTTGTAGAACATTAACACATGTTGCTATACTAAAAGTATATTTTTTTTATTAGAATATATTATTATATACTTTGTTTATTAGATTGCTCGAAATGTTTTTAATATTTTGGAGTCCCTGTATGTGCATTTTTCTCGACCAAGTAACAACGCAAAATTACTTGAAATTCAGAATGAATTAGGGTTAAAGAAAGGCAATGTAATAAGGGTTGGTGATACGCGATGGGTTTGTCGATATCGAAATTGCAATTCAATGATAAACAATTATTCAGCAATTTTAAAATTTTTAAAAAATGAAATTGAAGAAGAAGCTGATAAAGATGTAGCTGAAGCTATAGGTAATATAATAAATAATGAAAAATGAAATGTTATTGAGTACTCAAAAAGTTATATTTTATTTTTAGGAATTATTAGTCAAATAACAAAATGCCAATTTGTAGTTTTAGTTATGGTTTTAAGAGATGTTTTAGGTGTTATAAATATCTTAAGTACAACACTACAATCAAAGACAGCTACATTAGGGAAGGCCGAAATGATTATTAATAGTGTTATTGAGTCATTTAAAAACATGAGAACAGATAAGTCATTCTCAGAATTATGGTTAAAAATTATACAATTTTGTGAAACAAATGACATATCAATAGAAGTCTCTCCTCCTGGTAAGTTTGATTCATTGTTAAAGTTACTATAGAAATTTAAAGCTAATTATTAAAAAAAAAAAAATTTAAGTAACAAAACGGAAAAGAACTCAGCCGACTAATTTGATGAATTTCCATTTGGAAACCACAACTAGTGCTAATTTTGATGAACAAGATCAAGATATGTCAGAAGCATATTGGAGGCGTACGGTTTATTTTCCTATTATTGATACAATTATCAATAATCTAAAGTTTAGATTTTCAACTGAAAATCTTCAGATGGCTAAAGCTATTGAAAGTTTTATGGACATGGATTTTGAAAAAAGTCGATATTTTATCCAGCATTATAAGGTGCATATTAAATAAATTATTCAGTACCTAACATAATAAAATCATTACATTTTAGAACAATTCTATAATATTCTATGATTTCTGGACATAATAAATTCAAACACGGAATGCTTGAAAGCAGAAATGCTTGTAGGAAAAAACTGTTTAAAAAACAGTACAGATGGCATAAAAAAAATAGTAAATCAAGAAGTATTTCCTAACTTGTATAAACTAATGCAGGTTGCAAACGATCCCGGTCAGTTCTGCAACATGTGAGCGAAGTTTTTCCTCCATGAGGCGATTAAAAAATTGGATGAGAACCAGCATGGTACAACAGCGTTTTACCAACTTAAGTGTAATTAATATTGAGAGAGATCTTGCAAACAAAATTGTTCCCGAAGAGATACTAAACACATTTGCTAAGATTGACAGAAGATTWTGTTTAACACTTTAATAATTTTAAATCATAAAATACAATAAATAAAAATGAAATGTGTTAAAATTGTTTAGTATTTTAATATACCTAATAATAATAGTCAAAATAAAATATTTTAAAGGTGTAATGGGGTGGGTGTGGGGGGCGGAGCCCCCCACGGCAATATAACGGTTTACCTTTTGTAGCACCCCCAAGATTTGAACTCTAGTTGCGCCACTGCACAACAGTAATGACTGCAGCTTCATTGCTCGTTCTTTTTGGATCGCTTCATCCCAACGGTCGACCGAGACCCCACAAAACCATAACTAAATTATTTAATCGATATTTTATAAAAAATCTTGAATATTAACCGTATATCTTTTAACACACGTCAAGTATTTGATAAGATAATTATTTCATTGCACAAACGTAATATAGATGTATAAACATATTATGATTAATTCATAATTCGTAACTATAAAATAAATGTATATTAGCAATAGAGGGTATTTTTATTGTGATATATTTTGATAATAATGCTTCTGTAAGTTGGTATTTATTATATTATGAACAGCGAACAAAATATCACAGTAGAAACAAATTTTACCTATTCTGCGACAATAAAAGGTCTACAAAATATTATAAAATAATATGTAAAAGCAAAACTACCTATGTAAAAAATTATGTAAAATCAATGTAAACAATGTCAGTCAATGGCCACCGCTGCCGAAGCTTATTCTAATAAGATAAAAAAAAGTCTACAATATTAATATATTTAGTTAAGTTTGATATACTGATATCTCATAACAATTATCATTATCTGAGTAATTTCAACTTAATAAAAAAGAAGTGAAATA